GCTTCTTCTTCTTGTTCATGGCGCTGGTGATACCAACGACCGGGAAGGAACGGGACAGAGGCCGCGACCGAGGCGAAAGACCACAGCTGCCCCAGGCCCAGCCGCGGGAAGAGGCCGCCGGCCAGCGTCACCCGCGGCCCGGAAGCAAAGCGGAGCCCCGCCCCCATGGATTCCTCGGGCGGAAGTTCCCGAAACGCGACTTCCCGCGGCTTCCGGTGGTTTCCGGACGCTACGGAGAGGCCGAGATGCGGCGAGCGCACGCGCGGCAGCGCCTGCTCGCGGCGCGGGGGGCTGGTGACATCTTCCTGGACTAGCTCCGCAGGACCTCGGCACTGAGCCTGGGGCGTCCCTTCTCACTGCCTGTTCTCGATGCATTTCCGAGACCTGCCTGTACGAGCAGGACCCATGGGTCCCCTTCCACCCTAAGCCGGCCCCGTCGTCAGGGACCCCTGAGCCGCCCACCCTGCCCTTCAGAGTCGCCCTGGCTTGGGGCAGGGCCTAACACATCTGAGCGGGCTGCACACCTAGCCAGTGTGTAAGCTTGTGCGGAGTGTATGCGTCGTGATTGCGGTGCCCCCGTGTGCAGACTGCTGCCTTGGCTCTTCGCACTCAGATTTCTGGGCTCAGTCCTGGCGCTGGTACCTACCTATACAAGCCCCACTCACACCCCCACCATACCCTGAACATTCGGTGATTCTGGTGATTCCGATGACGGTGGGAGCCCAGACCCTAAGCAGCTAATTGATGAAAATAAATAAATGCAACAGAATAAGTCAGTGTGTGGGCATAGGCGGTCACAGCATGTGGGTGGATTCAGTGCAAATCTACTTGAGTGTGTTGGTGGGCACTGGTGCAAGTCAGATCATCTGTGCTCACGTTTTAGGTGGATACGCAAGACTGTCCTCTGCATGCATGTCTGCCTGTCCGTGTGCACCTTTGCTGGGGTGGGTGTGGGACATCCTCTGGCCCCCATATACACCTGGGGAGAGCCTTCGGTCTCTTTGGCAGAGCAGGCAAAAAGCTAGTCACAAGTCTGGTCTTCTGCTGGACCAGGTAGCCCCCAGCCCACCCAAACACTTCTCACAGGGGTCATGAACCAGACACATCCCTCCTGTCTGCTGTGGCCTCCTCCGAGTTTCTCTCTCCTCCTTGTTCCCAGCTGAGCCCCTTGGAGTGACACGCCGTGGGCACTGAGTCAGATTCTGGGGCTACAGAGGGAAAGAGAGAGATCCCAGCTGCCCTCCTAACCTTCATAGGGTGGTGGGGGGCAAGAGAGGGTCAAACTGGCTTCTCTAGGAAAGTGAGTGGCCATTTGAAGGAGAGCCCTCCAGAGAGGCCCAGAGAATGCACGAATAAAGGA